CTGTAATCCCAGCTACTTGGAAGGCTGAGGCAGGAGAATTGCTTGAACCTGGGAGGCAGAGGCTGCAGTGAGCCAAGATCATACCACTGCACTCCAGCCCGGGTGACAGAGCAAGACTGTCTCAGCAACAACAAAACAACAGACTTGTTGAATGAATGAATGGAACAGTGCTTGTCATACAGCAGGCGATTAAAAAGTACTTACTAATGAATGACCAGAATGGTACATACCAGCACACAGCAGGCACTCAATAAATACTTAGAAATGAATGACTGGTCAGAATGGTGCATGCTGACACACAGTAGGTGCTCAGTAAATACGGAGCGAAAAGTCAGAACAGTAGCTGGCACAAAATAGGCACTTAATAAATAGGAATGAATGGTGCCCAATATATAGCAAGTGCTATGTACTTAGCAAATACTTAGTTATGACTGAGCAGGCTGATTGGTGCCTGGTGCACAGCAGACACTCAATAAATAGTCCTGAGTGAGCAGGCAGAATGCAGAAGGTGCTCAATAGTTGCACATGGAGTGAGTGAATGTGCATGGAATGGAGGCTACGAAGCAGGAGGTGGGGCAGGGAGATCCCCTGCCCAGATCCAACCCCCTGTCCTTGCTTCTCCCGTCAGTCCCCAGAGGCCAGCTCCCTGCACAGCCTGGAGAGACAGGTAGGCCGGAAGGTGGGGTGGAGCCGGCCCTCCCGCCGCCCACCCTTTCCTCCCAGAGGCAGCTGAGCCTCCACTGCTGCTCCCAGGTGCAAGAGCTGCAGCAGCTACTGGCAGAGAGACAGGAGGAGAAGGAGAGCCTGGGACGGGAGGTGGAGAGTTTGCAGAGCCGGCTGTCCCTGCTGGAGGTAGGAGCAGTGACGGAGTTGGGGCTGGGCTGGGGCTGGGCTGGGGCCAGGTGGGGGAGCTTCTCTCCTGCAGCAGCAACAAGACAGCCATATCAGTGCACGCACAGCCTTACACACATGCAGACACACTCACCAGACGTGTACTCACAAAGCCATGTCACAAGCACCCATGCGCACTTACAAATGTGCACAGACAGAAAGGTCATTCCTTACCTCCTTTCTCTCCTTCCTTTCCTCCCTTTTCTTTCTTTTTTTTTTTTTCTCTCTCTCTCATTCTTTCTCTCTCCCTTCCTTCCTTCCGTTCCCCTCCTTCCCTCCCTCTTCTTTCTCTTTCTTTCTCCTCTCTCTCTCTCTCTCTCTCTCACTCTCTTTCCTCAGAGTCTCTCTCTGTCACCCAGGCTGGAGTGCAATGATACGATCTCGACTCACGGCAACCTCTGCCTTCCAGGTTCCAGCGATTCTCCTGCCTCTGCCTCCGAGTAGCTGGGACTACAAGTGCATGTCAACACATACACCTAATTTTTGTATTTTTGGGGGGCAGGGGATGGAGTTTCATTTTTTTTTTTGTACTTTAGGTTCAGGGGTTAATGTGCAGATCACTCAGGATTGTTGCATAGGTACACACATGGCAGTGTGGTTTGCCGCGTCCATCCCCCCGTCACCTACATCTGGCATTTCTCCCATGTTATCCCAGACTTTCACTCTTGTTGCCCAGGCTAGGGTGCAGTGGTGCGATCTCAGCTCACTGCCACCTCTGCCCCCCTGGTTCAAGCAATTCTCCTGCCTGTCTCAGCCTCCCCAGTAGCCGGGATTACAGGCACGCACCACCATGCCCGGCTAATTTTTATATTTTTAGTAGAAACAGGGTTTCACCCTGTTGGCTGGGCTGGTCTTGAACTGACCTCAGGTGATTTGCCTGCCTCAGCCTCCCAAAGTGCTGGGATGACAGGCATGAGCCACTGCGCCCAGCCCCAGAAAGGCCATTTCTCCAAGCACACGCGCACACTCAGGGATGGATGACCACTCTCCATGCACATGACGGAGCATGGATAACAGCGAGCACACCCACGGACACAGTTCACAGAGACGCAGGAAACACATGCGAGAATGCGTCATCGCACACACGCACGCACTGCCCATGAGCCCTTCCCATGCAGCCACATGCACAGACAACACACCCACAAATGCATACATGAGCAACAAGTTTTTCTTTTCCTTTTCTTTTTTGAGGTAGGGTCTTGTTCTGTTGTCCAGGCTGGAATGCAGCGGCACCATCATGACTCATTCCAGCCTTGACTTCTCCGGGCTCAAGTGATCCTCCCACCTCAGCCTTCTGAGTAGCGGGGACCACAGGTGTGTGCCACCACACTTGGCTACTTTTTTTTCTTTTTGGAAAGATGTGGTCTCACTACATTGCCCAGTCTGGTCTCAAACTCCTGGCCTCAAGTGATCCTCCCACCTCCATTTCCCAAAGTGCTGGGATTATAGGCATAAGCCACCGTGCACCACCAGTATTTCTGAAAACACATAATTATGCAAACATATATACATATAGACAGCCATATACACAATCACACAAATCTACAGATGCATTGAAAACACGACCGTTTCCACAGAAACTGGATAACCAGGTTTAAAAAGAAAGAAAGAAAGAAAGAAAGAAAGAAAGAAAACAACCACACACACACCAGACTACAACTCAAGCACAAGGCCAGGCACGGTGGCTCACACCTGTAATCCCAGCACTTTGGGAGCCCAAAACGGGCAGATCATCTGAAGTCAAGAGCTCAAGACCAGCCTGGCCATCATGTGGAAACCCAATCTCTACTAAAAATACAAAAATTAGCCAGGTGTGGTGGCAGGCGCCTGCAATCCCTGCTACTTGGGAGGTTGAGTCAGGATAATCGCCTGAACCTGGGAGGCAGAGGTTGCAGTGAGCCGAGATTGTACCACTGTACTCCAGCCTGGGCAACAGAGCGAGACTCTGTCTCAAAAGAATCAACAAACAAACACTTAAGTGTGTAATCACACATACTCACAGGAAGGAGCCCACAACACTATGCCCACACCTATAGTCACAAACACACACTTCCAGCCAGCTGTTTGCATGGCAAATGGATAGAGTCAGTGTCTACTCTCACGCAGACACACACACACACAGGTAACCACAGCCTGCTCCAAGGTCCCCTCACCCAAGAAGGAAATGCCCGTGGTACATAGACCAGGAAGCTGGAGGATGCTGGCATATACCATGCATCTGTTAAGGCATTAATACCCAAAATATGTAAGGAATTAATACAACTCAATATCTCAAAAACAACCTAGTTACAAAGTGGGGCCAGGCCTGGTGGCTCATGCCTGTAATCCCAGCACTTTGGGAGGCCGAGGTGGGCAGATCACCTGAGGTCAGGAGTTTCAGACCAGCCTGGCCAACATGGTGAAGCCCCATCTCTACTAAAAATACAAAAAGTAGGTGGGTGTGGTGGCGTATGCCTGTAATCCTAGCTACTCAGGAGGTTGAAAAGGGAGAATCACTTGAACCTGGGAGGCAGAGGTTGCAGTGAGCAGAGATTGTGCCACAGCACCGCAGCCTGGGAAAAAAAAATGGGCCACGCACAGTGGCTTACACCTGTCATCCCAACACTTTGGGAGGCTGAGGCAGGAGGATTGCTTGAACCCAGGAGTTGGAGACCAGTCTGGGCAATGTGGTGAGACCTCATCTCTGTAAAAAAAAAATTAAAAATTAGCCAGGCGTGATGTTGCACACCTGTAGTCCCAGCTGCTTGGGAGGCTGAGGTGGGAGGATCACTTGAGCCCAGGACCTGGAGGCTGCCATGAGCTATGATCACACCACTGCATTCCAGCCTTGCTGACAGAATAATACCCTGGCTCCAAAAAAAACCAAAAACGGGGGTGGCAAAGGACATAGAAGGTGCTCACTGAGTCCTATGGGCCAAATGCAGCCATCTGGTGCTCGTGGGGGACATAACTTGTGTCTTGGTGGGGACACACAGGGGCTGAGAGCAGAAACCCGAGCTGGACTCTGCTCCCTACCCCCAGAACGAGCGGGAGAATACCAGCTATGATGTGGCCACCCTGCAGGATGAGGAGGGTGAGCTGCCTGACTTTCCAGGTGAGCCCCACCTCCCCAGGCACTCCCGCCCACCTTATCCCTGGGGCCCTGGGAGTCGAGGCCTGGACCTCCAGGTGTGGGGGAGTTTGAAGCTGGGGGGGAGGTTTGTACTCATCCGTTTTTAAAATTCCACTTGCCTGAGCCTGCCCCGGGGACCCTGATCCAACACTCTAGCCCCACAGCTCCTGTCTCCTGTGGCCTGGTCCCCTGGGGCCTGACTCTGTGTCCCCCTCCAGGGGCCGAGGCGCTGCTGTCCAGGCAGCTCAGCCCATCAGCCCAGGAACGCTTGGCCTCACTGCAGGAGCAGGTGGTTGCACTCACCAGACAGAACCAGGAACTGATGGAGAAGGTCCAGGTGGGGAAAGTGAGGCTGGGGACAGATCTGAGGGCCTGGGGCTGGTTCCCTGAGGTCAGGGTGGGCAGGGAAGGTGGCAAGTCCACCCTGTATCCCCATGGTGACATCAACCCCCACTGGACTCCTGCCCCCCACCCCATTCCCCAGATCCTGGAGAATTTTGAGAAGGACGAGACACAGATGGAGGTGGAAGATCTGGCTGAGGTCATCCCTCTTGCCCTCTACGACTCTCTCCGGGCCGAGTTTGACCAGCTGCGCAGGCAGCACGCTAAGGCCTTGCAGGCACTGAGGCAGCAGGAGACACTGAAGTTTCCCAGAGAAGAGGGGGCAGCCTCTGGGGAAAATGAGGGTGCTGGAGCCACAGCCACCAAAAACGGGCCAACCCACATGGAGCTAAATGGCTCATTGGTTCCAGAAACCAAACTTAATGGAGCCGAGACCACAGATGAGGAGGCTGCAGGAGATGAAACAATGGAAGCCAGGACTATGGAAGCTGCATCCACAGGCACTGAGGACAGGGGAGCTGAGGCCACAGAGTCGAAACCCACGGGGGCTGATGTCAGAGACATGGAGACTGTAGAAGAGGCATCAAATATAGAAATTAAGCCCACAGGAGCTGAGGCCACAGGCACAGAGGCCACGGGAGTGGTGGCCACAAAAACAAAAGCAGAGGAAGCAGAAGTGCCGGCCTACGAAGTGGGTGCTGGGCAAGCAGAGCCCCCAGTCACTGGGACCACAAACATGGAAGCCACCAGCTCTAGGGCCACAGAGATGGAGGCCACGGGAGTCCATGCCACAGGTTTGGAAAATCCAGGGATCTCTGCTGGACCCGTCTTACATCCTGGTGCCGCAGAGGCCTCGGAAAAGCTTCAAATCGAGCTGGAGACCAGGATTCGTGGCCTGGAGGAGGCACTCCGGCAGCGGGAGCGGGAGGCAGCCGCTGAGCTGGAGGTGGCCCTTGGGAAGTGTGAGGCCGCGGAGGCCGAGGCAGGCCGGCTGCGAGAGCGTGTCCGTGAGGCCGAGGGCGGCTGGGGCGGCGGCGAGGGCGGCGGCGGCGGCGTCGACACCGCACAGCTACGGGCGGCCCTGGAACAGGCCCGGGAGGACCTCCGAGAGCGGGACTCCCGTCTGCGGGAGCTGGAGGCGGCCTCGGCTAGCCTGGATGAGGCTCGGGCCAGCCGGCTGCTGGCGGAGGAGGATGCCCGGGGCCTGCGGGCGGAGCTGGCGCAGCGGGAGGAGGCGCGGCTGGAGCAGAGCCGGGAGCTGGAGGTGCTGCGTGAGCAGCTGGCCACGGCCAGGGCCACCGGGGAGCAGCAGCGCTCGGCGGCCGCAGAGCTGGGCCGGGCCCGGGATGCGGCCGAGGCCCGGGTGGCTGAGCTGGCGTCGGCCTGCGAGGAGGCGCGGCAGGGGCTGGCGGAGCTGCGGGAGGCCTCCGAAGCCCTCCGCCAGTCTGTGGTGCCAGCCTCTGAGCACCGCCGGCTGCAGGAGGAAGCCCTGGAGCTGCGCGGCCGGGCAGCCAGTCTGGAGCAGGAGGTGGTGGCTACTGGCAAGGAGGCCGCCCGGCTGCGCGCAGAGCTGGAGCGCGAGCGTGTGTGCAGCGTGGCACTCTCGGAGCACGAGCGCATCGTGGGCGCCCTGCAGGCCAACGTGGCCCAGCTGGAGGGGCAGCTGGAGGAGCTGGGACGGCGGCATGAGAAGACCAGTGCCGAAGTCTTCCAGGTGAGCAGGGCCGGCCCCCACCCCACCCCCGCAGTGGCCTGTTTTACACAGCCCTGGGGAGTTTTGACCCCATCAGTCTTACTTGAACAGACTTTTTAATTTTATTTTATAAAAAAAAAAAAAAGACAGTTTTGAGACAGTCTCACTCTTTCACCCAGGCGGAGTGCAGAGGTGCGATCTCAGCCCACTGCAACCTCCGTCTCCTGGGTTCAAGTGATTCTCCTGCATCAGCCTCCCAAGTAGCTGGAATTACAGGCGCCTGCCTTCGTGCCCAGCTAACTTTTGTATTTTTAATAGAGATGGGATTTCACTGTGTTGGCCAGGCTGGTCTTGAACTCCTGACCTCAGGTGATTCACCCTCCTCAGCCTCCCAAAGTGATGGGATTACAGGCATCAGCCACTGCCCTGGCCTTGAACAGACAATTGACCCTGCAGCCATCCTGACCTCTTGAGATTTTACACTTGTGTTTTCTCTTTCTTTCTTTCAAAAAAAATTTTGAATCTTTATTTTTTTCCTCCTGTGTTTTAAAGTACCTTGACTCACTCATCTCTCTCTTTCTTAATTTCTTTTTTCTCTCTCTTTCTTTCTTTCTTTTCTTTCTTCCTTTCTCTTTTTCTTCCCTCCCTCCCTCCCTTCCTTCTTTCTTTTTCCATGCCTTTTCCTTTCCCCCCTTCCCCTCCCCTTTCCCTTTTCCCTTCCTTTTCTTTTTTTTTTCACACAGGGTCTGGCTCTGTCACCCAGGCTGGAGTGCAGTGGCACAATCATAACTCACTGCAACCTCCACCTCCTGGGCTCAAGCAATCCTCCCACCTCAGCCTCCTAAATAGCTAGGACCACAGGTGTGCACCAGCATGTCTGTCTAACTTTTTATTTTTTTGTAAAGACAGGGTTTTGCCATGTTGCCTAGGCTGGTCTCAAACTCCTGAGCTCAAGTGATCTGTCTGCCTCAGCCTCCCAAAGTGTTGGGATTACAGGTGTGAACCACTGTGCCCAACCTATGTTTTATTTATTTATTTATTTATTTTGACACTCTTTGGCCCTTTTGACCACATCATTTTTTTTTTTTTAAATGGCTGTT